CTGGCCGGCGCACAGTGGGCCAGAAGACCGGTGGAGGCGGCCGAAACTCTAGACGCGTTTCGAGCTCCAGAGTCGCTAAATGGGACTCGAATCGAACGTGTGACCCCACCGATGGATTGCTCTCCGAACGAGGAATCCATTGGTGGGGTCACACGTTCGGTTCGAGTCCTGTTTCGCGACTCCGCAGCTCGAAACGCGTCTAGAGTTTTGGCCGCCTGCACCGGTCTTCTGGCCCACTGTGCGGCGCGGCGCGCGGCCACTGATTCCGCGAGAGTCGTTTTCGTCGCTCTGTCTCTCTCCCACTTATACGGGACGTCCCGTGAGTGCGAGAGAGGCAGCGGCGAAAGCGACTCTCGGAATCAGTGCGCAGAGCGCAACGCCGTGGACGCTGCCCCGACGTATATTGCCGTTGCTAGGGCATTTGAGGAAGGACCAGGGCGGACCGGGGGGTGGCTCATTGCCTTTACTGAAATTCCCCGTTCCAATATGTCTGTAGAGAAATTCTCAGGGTGGATCAGTTGACCTACCTCTAGTAGTTGACCTGGGGCATGGTGGGGCAGGCCGAGGCGCTGTACGGTGTTTACGTACTCGCTGGCGCGCGGCGGGTCTCCGATCCACTCAGATCCGGTCGCCGGCCACTCTGCTGTGTTCCGCCCGGGGTATCGTCCGCCGCTATCCAATACCCTCGCACTGGCTGCCGGGCCGGGGTGGCTGGGGCAGTCAGTCAGGGATGCTTAGCGAAGAGCCCTAGCCCTGTGCAAATGTGTGGTCGCAGGCCGGCCGCCCGACGCGGACAAGAACGCCGCCCGGCACTATGCGGTGGGCCCAAAGGATTCAGTCTCTCTCTCGCTCTCCCTCTCTCTCTCTCTCTCTCTCTCTCTCTCTCTCTCTCTCTCTCTCTCTCTCTCTCTCTCTCTCTCTCTCTCTCTCTCTCTCTCTCTCTCTCTGCATGCTAAGTAATGAAAGAGGGATGGCTCGTTACACTCGTTACCGACGGCGGCCTCCCTTCCATCCCGGAGCGTGCCGTCGTTGTTGTTAAACGCGGGGGTCGTTAGCGCACGCGGCCATCAGCTGGCCGCGATTCCTCGCTCTGTCTCTCTCGCACTCACGGGGCGTTCGCAGCAGTGCGAGTGAGACAGAGCGCTGTTCGGAGTCTGGCCGGACTGTCCCCCACCAATACCCCGGTCCCCCAAACCGCCGCCAAGGCAGCGCGGCAGCGAACAATTGAGCGACGCAATAACAAAAGGCAAAAGGCCCCCCTGCGCGCTACGCGCCAAGAGATATTAGATATTCGCTCCAAATATATAGGATTAGAAGCGCGGCCCGATCGGCGAGGCTTTGGCCGGCTTTACCCCGATAGTGGTACACTGCCGAAATCCTGGCTGGGCCGCGCGAGGTCGGCTGCAGCCTCCAATCCCGTCGCGATTTGGGCACTCGGCCGGTATTCCGGCTCGTTGCAATCATGATTGCAATCCGATTGCAATACGGCCGGCTTGCAATCGAGGCTGCGAAAGTGGTCCCGAGAGAGTCCCGGAGGAGAGAGGGTGGGGGTAGTGGCTTCCAGTGCAGGTTGCCGTGGCCGTCAGGGCGCTCGGCGCACCACGCACCTCCACTGCATCACTCGCCCGCCCATCGAACAGTGGATTTGTCAGAAGACCGGTGGAGGTGGCCAAAACTCTAAACGCGATCTGAGCTCCAGATTCGCTAGACATGACGAGAACTGAGCGTGTGACCCCACCAATAGATTGATCTCCAAACGAGGAATCCGCTGGTGGGGTCACACGTTCAGTTCGAGTCCTGTTCAGCGACTCTAGAGCTCAAAACGCGTCTAGAGCTTTGTCGGCCTCCGCGGCCTACTCTGAGGCGCCGCCCATAGCCAGCCCTCCGGCAATCAACAACAGTAAAATGCATATTAAAGTTCCCGCGTTGAAAACGACCACGCCGAGGGCCGGTTCTCAGCGTCGCTGTCGCCTCTGTCTCAGTCGCACTCGCGAGGCGTGCCGTGGAGGTGCGAGAGAGACAGAGCGACGAAACGCGAAGCAGAATCAGTCTGCTTGCTGCACGTCCGCGGGGGGAGGCTCGTGGCCCGAGGCCCTCCCAGGGACGCGTCTTCGGGTCGTTTGCCGTGAGTTGTGAACCTCCCGCACAGTGGGCCAGACGACCGGTGGAGGCGGCCAAAACTCTAGACGCGTTTTGAGCTCCGAAGTCACTTAATAGTCCACCAGTTGTCTGGCCCACTGTGCGCCGGTCTGCCCTCTCGCATTTGCGTGCGGGGCAGTGCCTTGGCAGTGGCCTGGCAGTGCAGAGGGACAGGCGACAAAATGGCCTTCTAAATTAATTGCATGTGACGAACCAAGGAAAGAGCTTCAAGGGGGCGGCGAGGGGGTGGGGGAGATAAGTGGAGTTATGAGGATTGGGGCGAGGGGCGGGGCGGGGGCGTCGAGAGGCTGGGGCGGCGAGGGGCGGCAGGAACAAAAGGGGTGCAGCAGGGATGCTGCGTGAGACTTGTGGTGTGGGGGTCGTTAGTAAGGGGCAGGGGCGGCTCGTGGACAGGTCCAGGGGGCGGGTTGCTCTGCTGCCGCCGCTGCTGCGAAGAGTGGCCATAGTCTCGAGAGTTTGTGTCGAATAGGCGGCCAGGCCTCGGCCAGGTCGGCCAGCACAGGGCAAGCGGAACACCCGCAACACCCATTAGAACACTCGACCTGAGCCCGGAAACCGGAAACTGCCCGGGAGGTGAAGATTTAATTAAATCTTTACGGCGGTCCGCTGCAGGCCGATGCCGAGTTGCGGTAGTTTTGCATCGCTCTGTCTCTCTCACACCGCTGCCACTGCGGTCCGCCCCGTGAGTGCGAGGGAGGCGGCAGAGCGCCCGGTGGGTGCGCACCCAGCCGCACGGCCGCGTCCGCAGCCGTTTGTGTTGCCTACAGTGCAGGCGCTCTCCGCCGCGGACCCGAAGCTCGCCGCCCCACAGTGGATTTGCCAGAAGACCGGTAGAGGCGGCCAAAACTCTAACGCGTTTTGAGCTCCAGAGTCGCTAAAAGGGACTCGAACCGCCCACCAATGGATTCTTCGTTCGGAGAGCAATCCATTGGTGGGGTCACACGTTCGGTTCGAGTCACTTAGCGACTCTGGAGCTCAAAACGCGTCTAGGATTGTGGCCGCCTCCGCCGGTCTTCTGGCCCACTGTGCGCCCGGCCGGCCGGGCCTGCCCGATGCGCAGTGACGGCTAGCTGCCCACGCCCGGGCTGGGCAGGGCGTGGCGCAGGAACATCTGCAGCGCCCGGAGTGCACTCTCAATTCTAGCAGCTTGTTCAAGCGCCGCCACGCCGCGCCACAAAAATGCGAGTTTTCCTCTATTTTCTTTCCACTCTCTTTTGTGTAGGTGGAGTTAAATTGCCTGCTCGTGTTTTAATGGAGGAAGTTGAAGCGCGGCCGTGCTGTACTTACGACCCCGTTATGCTGGCCTGGACCAGGTACAGTTGTTTCGCGCGTGTGATAGGGCAAGGGGAGGAAAGCCGCGGAAAAAGGGTGGAGGGGACGCGCTCACTTCGACTACACACACTCTAAAAAGAGGGGTCAGGTTTCTCTCTTCGTTTCCAGGCCAGGACGCAAGCACGCTCGCTCATGGCCGTGGTGCTTTTCGCTGATTTCGTCGTACTTCCTATGCTCCGTAAGATAGCCAGGGCGGCAAAGTTTTATCTTGTGTGCACACACACTCTCGCAACACACCAACACGCGCGCGCCCGCAGAGCGATGCAGGGCCTTGCGGCTCCAGGACTGTCTCGCACTGAGCGACATGCAATGCCATTTTCATGAAGTAAATACTCCGACGCGGCAAGACGGACCAGCATAATGTATACGAGGGCCTGGCAGACAGACAGTCAAACAGACAGTCAGACAGACGGACGGACGGACAGACAGACAGACAAGCTGCACACGTATGGGGCCAGTTTGCGGCACCCTGGTGCGGTGCTCTCCAGTATTAGGGGGTCTTGCTGGGCGTTTTGTCTACCTACGCCTCGCGCCTCGCCTCGCCCCGCCCCGCCGAGCGCCTTACTAGCACCTTCATCTGACTTTCATGGTTTCATGCACGGCTCGCTGGCTGCGGCGCTGCGGCCAGGTGCCCGCCCGGTCCTTGGGTCCTTGCAGGTCTCCGGCTCGCTGTCCTGGGCCCTGGGCAGCCCTGGGCCCGCGGTATGTGCCGCTACCGGAACGGCAGGGAATCCTGTGACCACACACACACTCTTTCTCTCTCTCTCTCTCTCTCTCTCTCTCTCTCTCTCTCTCTCTCTCTCTCTCTCTCTCTCTCTCTCTCTGTCTCTCTCTCTCTCTCTCTCTCTCGCTCTCTCTCTCTCACACACACACACAGACACTGACCGTGGTGGTTGGCGTGCCGCGTGGTGGAGACATGTCGCTCAGCTGTTTGCTGCAGTTAGTGTCTCGTCGTCTGCTGCGTCGTGCGCTGCGTCGTCTTGCTAACGTCGTCTGCTACTTCGCTGCGGCGGCGGCGCGTTTTACGGTTCCGCATATAAATATATCTTTTATTTTTTCTTCCCTGTGAGAGACGTGCGGGAGTATATCCAGCGCGGCAGTGCGGTGCCGGGAGTGCCCGGCGCGGCCTGCCTGAAAGCTGAGAGCCTCAGCAGACTTCCTCTGGGACAGGCGGACTGGCAGACAGACAGACAGACAGACGGACGGACGAACGGGCGAGCTGTGAGGTCTGATAGCGCGTCTGTTTGACCTCCTCCGCACTGCCCCGCACACCGATGTGCCGGGCGATTCCGAAGCCCCGTTGCGTCGCCTCGTCTCTCTCGCGCCCCTATCAGCCGACCCATGAGCGCGACAGAGACGGAGCGACGCGACGATTCTTCGACATGGGCGTGCAGGGCCGCCTCGCCATGGAAGCAGACGGGCAAGTTATCATGACCGATGCGGCTGGAGGGAGGGGGGGTGGCGGTTAAGGTTTCTGTAAACGGAGTGAGAAAAAAAAGAAGATCGGGCTCGCAAAATAAACATTTATTGTTGTACAAAAATAAACGGTAACTTTACTAGGAACGTCCTTGTTTTAACAGTGGCGCGTACTGGCGCGTGCGAGTCCTGCTAATTTGCATGGGGACGCGGCAGGCGCCACGCGTTGGCCCCACACTGTACGCTCGACGGGCCGAGGGCCCAACGCACAGTGGGCCGAAAGACCGGCACCGGCGGCCTAAACTCTAGACGCGTTTTGAGCTCCAGAGTCGCTAAACCGGACTAGAACTGAGCGTGTGACCCCACCAATGGATTCCTCGTTCGGAGAGAAATCCATTGGTGGGGTCGGGGTCACACGTTCGTTTCGAGGCCCATTCAGCGGAGCTCAAAACGGGTGTAGAATTTTGGCCGCCTCCACCGGTCTTCTGGCCCACTGTGCGAAGGGCTGACGGGGTGGCCGACCAGCTCGAGGAGCCGCGAACAAGGCGTTCTCGTTACGAGACCGGTGTCAAACCCGAATCCGGCGCAAACTGTTCCGCTTGCTGCAGGTTGCGGGGGAATGCAGAGCTACTTGGGCTGAGACCTCAGGACTGAGACTCACTTCACTGACGTCATCACAACGCTTCATTACACTATCACAGCCAAACGACCTAGACTAATTGACTTAGTACACACTGACTCGAATCCACACACACACATACACACACGCACGCTACACTGGGCGAGGCGGGGATTTTCTCACTGGGTCGGTGGCCGACGGCCGACCCCGGAGATAAACCTGCAAGATAAAAGGCGACATGTCACTAAATGAGTCATCAATCGACAGCACTGGAAGTCATTATCGACAGAATATTCACACAGAACACGCGTTCACGACCAGTTCTACACTCTAAACATAGGGTGCCCAGAAACTGGGCGCCTTTGTCGCCCGCCCCACTTTTTAGGGTGCCAAATGTCGCCTAGTTTTGGGCACCTTTGTCACCTAGTCTTAGTCTTGGGGTGGAAAAACCATTAAGGAACCTGCCTTCACTCATGGCTCAGCAGCGACTAAGGTGCCAAAGGTGCCCAGAATCAGGGCACCTTAGTCGGCCGGGAACTAGACACCTGAGCATGCTCCACCGTGGTAGAGGGCCGGTTATGATTTACCCACCCCGGGACTGGGTGACATTTGGCACCCTAAAAAGTGGGGCGGGCGCGACAAAGGCGACCAGTTTCTGGGCACCCTATGTTTAGAGTGTACGCGTTTCTCTCTTTTTTTTGTCGCTGTCTTTGTTTTCGTTTTTCGATCCGTCGGGTATGGGATGCTCGTCGAGGCCGACGCCGTACTTACCCGGCGAATCTCGGCGGCGTCCGCGACTTGGAGCGGTCCGACGGCCGCGCGGTGCGCCGCGACCGACGCCGAGGTGTCATCTCCAGCCGGGTCGCCTGAACGGGGCGGCCGCGTCGCCGTCCTCGGCGGGGCAAGACTTCTCGTCCCAGCCGTTGGGGCACTGCTCCACGCCGTCGCACTCACGGCCGCAGGTGACGGCGTGGTAGGCGCGCGGCGAGCCTGGGGCGCGGTGCTCCGCGGACCGCCGGCCGCAGCTCAGGTCCTGGACGCCCTCGGCGCAGCGGTAGCAGCGCAGCTCGTCGCCGCCGTCCTGGCACTCGCTCTGAAGCACCGCGACGCGCGCCGTCAGGGGGCGCTCTCCGAACACGTGCCTACCGCCGTCTCCCTCGCACCCCTACGGGGCTCGAGAGTGTGCGAGAGAGACGGGGGTGGGCGTCGTACACTGGCCGAGAAGACCGGTGGGGGCGGTCAAAACCCCAGTCGCGTTTTGAACTCCCAGAGTCGCTAAACAGGACTCGAACCGAACGTGTGACCCCACCAATGGATTCCTCGTGCGGAGAGCAATCCATTGGTGGGGTCACACGTTCGGTTCGAGTCCTGTTTAGCGACCTGGAGCTCAAAACGCGTCCGATCTTTTAGCCCATTGTTCGTCGAGGTCCTCACCTTGCCGTTGCACCGCCAGGCGCAGTCCCGGTCGCCGTCGTCGCGACATGCCTTGACGCAGCGGCCCTGGCAGAGCATGGCGCCGGCCCTGCAGTGCGGGCAGGCCGCCTCGTCGCGGTCGTCGTCGCACTCGGCCACGCCGTCGCAGCGCCGCGCGCACACCAGCGGCTCGCAGTCCCTGCAGGCGTCGGTCTGGGGCGCGGCCTGGGGCGCGGCCTGGGGCGCGGCTGTGCAGCCCTCCAGGCAGCCCTCCGCCGCGGTCGCCGCCGTGCAGTTCCGGTGGCAGGGCGGCACGCACAGCACGCTGCCGCCCTTGCAGGACGTGCAGCCCTTCTCGTCGGACGCGTCCAGGCAGCTCACATCGCCGTCGCACACCGCCTCGGGCAGGAAGCACGAGAAGCCCTTCTGGAAGCACGCCGAAGCACAACGAGTCACTTGTTGCGTTCGCCGTCGTTTTCAACTCGAGCGGCGCCGAACAGTGGGCCAGAAAGACCGGCGGCGGCGGCCAAAACTCTGGACGCGTTTTGAGCTCCAGAGTCGCTAAACAGAACTCGAACCGAACGTGTGACCCCACCAATGGATTGCTCTCCGAGCGAGGAATTCATTGACGGGGTCGCACGCTCTGCTCGAGCTCTGTTTAGCGACTCTGGAGCTCAAAACGCGTCCAGTGTTGGCCACCTCCGCCGGTCTTCTGGCCCACTGTGCGGCGTGCTCCAATCCACAAAACCGGCGGCAGTTCTTTACGACAAGCGTAAGTGCACACTGTCCAGACACGACTCAGTTCCTGACTGATCCTGTCTATTTCTGACTGATAAAAACCACAGTATTATAGTGACTTCTCATTAGTTTTGTGGAGATTTACGGTAAATTTTCACAAGAACTGCGAATGACGCGCGAAGTGAGAGGCGAGACTCCGCGGCGGCCGCAGACTGCAGATCGCGTTGCCCGCCGAAAGTGGCTGCACCGCAATAATGCTGCACCGCTCGGAGAAGAGAGCCTTATCGGTGGACAGATTCGCGGATCGAGTTATCAGGACCGCTTCCGCCGCCTGCCCACTTTTTCCCGCTGCAGGGAACCAAAAAAAAATATAAACAAACGAAAAGGAAACATAATGAGGAAGCGCGACCAGCCTTCGCGTTACGTGTTGGCCCGCGTGCCAAACCGCCAGTCCGCCGGCAGGCTGACTCCGAACGCCGTCGCTCTGTCTCTCTCGCACTGACGGGGCGGCCCGCAGGCCCCAAGGGGTGCGAGAGAGACAGCCTATGCAGTCGGCGGAGGGGAGGGCCGGGTGGCGAGAGGCTTTCCCTGACGTCATCCGCGTCGCTTCCTTCAGACCGAAGGCTGCTGGCTGAGAGTCGTTTTCGTCACTCTGTCTCTCTCGCACCTGTACGGGACGCCCCATGAGAGCGAGGGAGACACAGCGACGACTCTCGGAATCAGTCTGCTGAGGCGAGGCGATGAGCGGGCGGAGCCTTTTCCGATACACTGCGAGTGGCGCCTCAGCCTTAAGGTGACGACCGTCTCTAAGTGGCCCGGGCAAATGCCTCGGAAACTGGACGGCGTTTTAGTACACTGCGTCGCGGCGCGGTTGTGTACACTGTGCCGCCGAGGACAGCTTCCGCGGCAACACCGTGCAGCACACCAGCCGGCCCGGCAGGTACACTTTTTGCTTACGTTCTGCCTCCAAGGTTCTCTCTCCAAGGACGAGGCGACTGCAAACCAGTGTCGTCGCAGCCGTTCGGCCGACGGGCTAATCACTCTCATCCTGAACGTTGTGCAAATCAGTGGTGACCCCGCACGGTTCGCCTTGACCGCCGCCAGGACGACGCGCGTGGACGCAGCGCGACCCAGGCGCCACCGGGCTGTCGTCACCGTGTGACACCACGTGTGACGTTTGTGACACTGGGACACTGTGACGCTGACCTGCTTGGGGCTGATCTTGCACTGGTGCATGCCGGCCGGGCTGTCGTCACGGTGTGACACCAACGCCGTGACGTTTGTAACACTGTGACGGTGGGACCCTGACCTGCTTGGGGCTGATCTTGCACTGGTGCATGCCGGCCGGGCAGGGGACGGGGCGGGCGGTGGTGGTGCTGGGGGTGTAGTCGGCCGCGCAGAGACGCCCCAGCAGCAGACACGGCAGCAGCAGCCGCCAGCACACCATGCCAGCTGCTATGGCTGCTATCGCGTCACCGCCACTGCACTGACTGAGCGCCGGCGACCAGACGCGGCTTGGTGGCGTGGCGTGGCGTGGCGCGGCCGGCGTGACGGCGTGGTGGAGGGAGAGCCGCGGCGTGGCGGCGGGCCCGCCTAGTCAGTCTCGCGGCAGGCCTGCACTAACACAACGTGTCGCGGTCAACACTGAGCACTCTTCACTTCCGCCGGGACGAGCTGCATATCTCGAATCCGGCACGAGCGGCGACCATCACGCTCGCAATGTACCTGCTTCGCGGAATTTGGGACGAGTACCGTAGAGGCCGCCGATTTGGAAATGGCGCGGTGGTAGTGACGACAAATCGTCCCCAAGTAGTGTCAAGTAGTGTGATATCACTGTCGGTCCGGGCTGCGCGGCCCAGCCGGGCCGGTCTGATGGGCTTATTAAAGCGGCCAGCTGTCGCGCCGTCAGTCGCCCCGGCGCACAGTGGGCCAGAAGACCGGTGGAGGCGGCCAAAACTCTAGACGCGTTTTGAACTCCAGAGTCGCTAAATGGGACTCGAACCAAACGTGTGACCCCACCAATGGATTCCTCGTTCGGAGAGCAATCCATTGGTGGTAACACGTTTGGTTCGAGTCCCATTTAGCGACTCTGGAGCTCAAAACGCGTCTAGAGTTTTGGCCGCCTCCACCGGTCTTCTGGCCCACTGTACGGCGGGCCATTTTCAGTGTCGGCCGGCATGGAGGCATGAGGCATGGCCCGGCGGCATGGCCCGGTGGCATGGCCCAGCGGGCAGCGAGGCCTTGACGGATTTTCAATCAGGCAACTTGCTGGCGCTAATGAGAAGCTCGTGCCACACCTGTCCTCTGCCGCCCGCGCCCGCGGCCGGCCCTCGGCGTGGTGTAAATTGCCTCACCAGGCAGCGGCCATGCCACTGGCAATGCCAAGGGCTTATTTCGCCTTTTTCCATCCGCTCGTTAGGACAATAAGGGCCGAAATCAAAACCTCGAGTCTTGACGGTTTTTGCAGGCGCTGAGATTTTCGTCGGCGGTTTGGCGGCCGATTCGTACACACGAACTACGCGCCAATCATAGCGTGTGTTTTCTCGGAGGCAGAGATAACAGAGCGGGGAGGGGGTCTGGCGGCAGTGCTGACAAAGGCGGAGATACACACGCATAGGCGCGGTGCACGCCAAACGGTTTGTTTGTTGCTCGCTTGAATCGGGAGCATTCACGCTGCACAGTGGGCCAGAAGACCAGTGGATGCGGCCAAAACTCTAGACACGTTTTGCGCTCTAGAGTCGCTAAATGGGCCTCGAACTGAGCGCGTGACCCCACCAATGGATTCCTCGTTCGGAGAGCTATCCAATGGTGGGGTCACACGCTTGGTTCGAGTCCCATTTAGCGACAAAACGCGTCTGGAGTTTCGGCCGCCTCCACCGGTCTTCTGGCCCACTGTGGGAGCGTCTTCCCTTCCCGCACAGATGTCGCATTTCGCTTACTTTGCGGACCGAGCGGCCCCGCGCGTGAGTCGGCTCCGTGTCCGTGTCCCCCGATGGGCCAGATAGTCAGATGTTCGGACGGCGGGGCTATCGGAACGGCACGCGCGTGTTGGACTCGACTTGAACGCGCCGAGTGTGCCCTCGTGGAGGGCCTGTTGGCCTTGCGCAGGGACCGAGCGGCGATGATAGCGTCTCTCTCTCTCTCTCTCTCTCTCTCTCTCTCTCTCTCTCTCTCTCTCTCTCTCTCTCTCTCCCCCCACACTCTTGTTCTCCCTCGCACACGCACTCCGACGGCGTCTCGTGCATCGGAAATAGACTTGGATCGCCGCCACCGCGCCTCGCCCCCCCCCCCCCCCCGCCGCGGCATCGGCCTTTTTATCTCGCCTCTTATCACGGCAGGGCCGCGTTACTCAACAGCGCTCTCGCTCCAGTGTGGTATCTCCCGCGGATCACTTCTTTAAAACCGCCGGCCGCCAATGCCAGAAGCAAGGAAAGGGACGTAAAGTTGTTTTTCGAACCGGAGCGGTATTTGCCCGCCACTCTCGTTTCCGAGGCAACTGACGTTTCTGCACTTGTTTCACTTTATGTTTGTATTTTCTACCATTTCCTGGCGACATTGTTTAAATTAATGTTTCGATTTTGGAGCGTGTAGCACTGTTTTGAGCCGCGGTTGCCGGCGGAGCCACTTTTGCTCTTTTTGGGGCCGGGCCGTCCGGTCAGTGGCCGTGCCTTCCCCCGTTGCCCCGTGCCGCCCTGTGCTAATCCTGAGAACTCTCGGAATCCTCCTACTTTAATATTCTCCATGTGTAGTAGGTCTTCCAGCTCAGAGCCCTGGGCCGGCCGGGCCCTCCGCCCCCGCCCTTCTGAACCCTCCGATCACCTCCTCAAACTCCCTTCACTTCGGGTCCGGTCGGGTCTCGCCCGGCCCCTTCGGGACCCCTTCGGGACCCCTTCGGCGGCCGGGGGGCACGGCAGACGTTGCGGATCAGAGCAAGTGGCAGGGTCAACCCTGGCCCTGGCGCCCTCGGCCTCGGCGAGGCCCTTGGCGGGCCGAAGGGCCTTGCGGCGTGTGTGGGTGCCGGCCCGAAGCGGAGGCCCCGTCAAATAATGCCCTTGTTGAGACCGTCTTTCCCGCGTCGTCCGCAAACTATTCCTGTCGTCAAAGAATTCGCCCCGCCGCCCAGGGCCCCTTCCTGGGCCCCGTCCTGGACCCTGCCTTAGTCCCTGTCCTAGACCCTGTCCAAACCCCGTCCTAGACCCCGTCCTGACCCTGTCCTAGACCCCATCCTAGACCCCGTCCTAGACCTAGACCCTGTCCTAGACCCCATCCTAGACCCTGTCCTAGACCTAGACCCTGTCCTAGACCCCGCCCTAGACTCCGTCCCAGACCCCGTCCTAGACCCCGTCCCAGATCCCGCCCTACCGTCCAAGACGCGAGCCGGGCGAGCCAAGGGCACGCGGCCCACGAGGCTTGTCTGAGGCTTCGCCGCTTCGCATCTGACTTGTAGAGTCACAACAACTTGGTCCGGGCCCTTGGCTCCGCGTCGCCACGCCGCCACCGCAACGGACTGTGTCCGACGAAGCAGGGGAGACTGGTGACCGTAGACTGATTCCGAGGGTCGTTTACCTCTCGCTGTCTCTCTCGCACTCCTGCCGCGTCCCGCATAGGTGCGAGAGAGACAGAGCGACGGAAACGACTCTCGGAATCAGTCTGCCGGCCCCACTGGCCCCGCTGCCGGGGGTCGCTGGGCTGGGCTGCCCGGCAATAGGATCCAAATCACGACGCCCCTAACTCATTTGCCTCACTTGTGGATGGGTTCACGGAAACTTCGGGATCCGGTCTCCAGTCAGGGGTTCGACTACCGGTGGGGCTTCAAAAACTTTTTTTGTTTTTACATTCTGATTGGCTGGAGACGGTCAACACAGAGGACGGAAGTCACAAGGTCTCACTCGTGTGCCGTGTCGTAGGGGTGCGAGAGAGACAGAGGGTCCAAGCGATCCTCCGGAGCGGGGCGGCTGCAGGCAAGTCGAGTTCAACGGTCCGCGAACGGCCGCGCTGCACTGCATACAAACGCCGATCCTAATGACGGAGCATCCTCGGCGTGCCGCCGGTGCAGTGTGCCTGCAGTGTGCCTGCAGTGTGCCTGCAGTGTGACAGAGACAGACGTCGCTCTCGCCGCTCCACGCCGTAAAGTGAGATGGCGTGTAACGCATAATGCGCGCGACGGAGACGGAGAGGGGCGCATCTCTGCGCGCAGCTCAGTGGGCCAGAAGACCCGGCGGAGGCGCCCAACACTCTAGACGCGTTTTGGACTCCAGAGTCGCTAAACAGGACTCGAACCGAACGTGTGGCCCCATCAATGGATTCCTCGTTCGGAGAGCAATCCATTGGTGGGGTCACACGTGCTGTTCGAGTCCCATTTAGCGACTCTGGAGCTCAAAATGCGTCTAGGGTGTTGGCCGCCTCCACCGGTCTTCTGGCCCACTGTGCGGTGGGGCGGGGGGCAGCAGGGGAGTGACAGCGCCCAGTGGGTAGGCAGCCCATCGTGCAGCAACGCGCCGCCTTGCACCGTCCGCTTGGTTAGCTTCGCCGCTTCGTCTCTCTGTCTCGCTCGCACCCCCGCGGGACGCCCCATGAGTGCGAGAGAGACAGAGCGACGAAACGATAAACGATCCTGCGGAATCAGTCTCGTGGGCGATTGAACTTGCGGTGCTGTTCCAGAGTCGCAGGGCGCGGAAGTGAAATTGGCAAAGTTTGCGGACGATTCGCAGGGATGTAATGAGGCACTCCAAAGGCTTCCCGCTCAACTAGTGTTGCCGTATGAGCAGGCGAAAATTCCCACGATGCATCCAAGTCGAAAGGGTTGCCGATGCCGTGGCAACAACGTGGCGAGGCCCAGCGCAGATATTGACGAGCGAGCAGGCAGGTGGAAGCTATGGCAACCCTTGAGTTAGTTGCTAGTGCACCGTGGGAATTTGGGCCTTCTCAGGTGGTAACAGTGGATCCGTCAGTCCTGACGGCTGATTTTGGAAAGCCAGCCTGCCTCGGTACTCGAAGACGCATCCCTAGTTTGAGCCGCGCCTGTCTTGCGCTGCCGCGGCCGCCGTGCTCCAGAACTACATTCCAAACAGGGTCGTCAGACAGTGCAGGCACTGCAGGCAGCAGTGCGGCCGGAGGTCCGGGCCAGCAGACTGATTCCGAGAGTCGTTTTCGTCGCTTTGTCTTTCTCGCGCTCGTGGGGCGTCCTGTGCAGGTGCGAGAGAGAGACAGAGCGACGAAGACGACTCTCGGAATGAGTCTGCAGCTTCCCCGGTGCCTGCCCCGCCCCATGCCCATACCGAGCAGCCTGGCGGCCCAACTCGGCGCGGACGACCTCTTCGCCAAATGGAATCGCCAGACTGTCCGTCTCTCTCGCACTCACGGTGCGGCCCGTAGGGGTGCGAGAGAGACAGAACATTCCCCTGACTGCGTTTCTTCGCCTAGGCAAGTTCGGCCAATCGGCCGCAGAAAGAAAAGTCAACTCCGCTCGGCGTGCACTGTGCGTGGTCGGGCAGGCGTCAATACCAACCAGAGCAGAGTGTACCAGTCGTCTGCAGAGAATCAAGACGAAAAACATTCAAATTGAATTTCCGCCATTA